TTCCTGCAGCTAAAAGAAATAATAAAGAAGCAAAAATGCCAAGAACACAAGTTTCATTGTGATAGTATCAATGCTGGGCACTTTTTAGTCAAATCTCTCTCTCTGCTCTCTTTCTCTCTCCATCCCTCTTTTTTCTCTCCCTCTCCCCACTTCTCCCCCCCTCTCTCTGGTTCAGATCTTTCTTTCTTTTATATGACGTTCAGTCCATCACAGAAATACAAACAACAGGAATACTTCCAATAGGCTTGGCTTCTAAGCCTCTGTTGTTCTCACATCTAATAATTTAGAAAAATTTCCAAGCATTGACACAAAATCAACAGTAGAACCTGGAAGCAACTTCTTCTAGACTCTTCTTCCCTAATGTAATGATTAATAAACATGACCAGACCTGATGTTGTTATGAAAAGTCAAAACAAGCCTATCTTTATAAACCTGTAAAGTGTGCCAGGAGAAGAGTTGGACTGTTTTTCCATGTTTGTTCTTTCAGGGTATGTGATGACTTAGGGTGGAGATTTATCTTGGTTCCAACTACTGTGAGGGCCTTCTGCCATGGATTCCTAATGTCAAGAGGAATGCTGACTGGAGTCATTGAACTATGTCTTTAGAATTTACCTTTGAAAACATCTCAAGTCCTGAACCATGGCTAATTTAGGGGCATTTGGAAACTGTTAATAAAAATGCTGAGAAGAGATCAATTCTGTTCATTTTGAGACTTTTGACAGTGCTCTCTACTTTCAAATTGAAGTGTTGGAGTGTTTTAAGGAAGGATGAAGAAAGGCCCATAAAACAGTTCTAAGTCTACAGAGACAAAAGCATGGCAGCTGAAAATGTTTTTCTTGACTATTACATGTTTGCATGTGCAAAGTCCTACTAAATGTAGCTGCTTGATCATGACTTGAAGTAGACCAAGGTCTGCTTGTATGTTAGCTGTATTTTGACAGAAAAAAAGACAGGCAATATCTACAGATCTTTTAGTATATGATTTACACACACTGCAAACTTCAAAACCTAGATGAAGAGGAATCAGACACAGTAGATATTCCAATGACACAGGTGAACTGAAGCGCAGTTATAATCCTTCCAACCAGAACTGGTCCCTTTACAAAATGAAACTCAGTGTTTTAAACCAATGGTTCTCAACCTGTAGGTCATGACCCCTTTAGCAAACTTCATCTCCAAAAAATTACATTATGATTCATAACAGTAGGAAAATTACAATTATGAAGTAGCAAAGATAATAATTTTATGGTGGGGGGTCACCACAGCATGAGGTACTGTATTAAAGGGTCACAGCATTAGGGAGGTTGCACTGTTTTAAACATTTAGCTATTTATACTTCCAGTCTACTGATGGATATGTGAGAAAAAATATTTTGAGGCACTAAAAGCAGTATACCTGCAAAGGTCTTGATAGTACATTTTTTAAGAAACAAATGTTGCAAAGAGCTTTGGTACTTCTGTAAATGATTTTTATGAGTTGTTGGACCATATCTATCAAAAAGGCTGTTTGTAGCTCAGTAACAGCTTCCAAAGACAGATCGACAGTCATTGTGCTGGTTAGTTTTAAAAGTCAACTTGACCCAAGCTAGAATCACCTTGTAAGAGAATTTCTGTTGAGATATTCTCTAGATCAGGTTGGTTTGTGGGCATGTCTCTGTGGGATCATCCTCATTGTTCCCTGATTTAGGAAGGCCAAACTCACACTGGGCAGCACCACCCCTAGGCAAGTGGAAATGAATGGTGTCAGAGAGCTAGCTAAGCACAAACCTACTAGCCAGCAGTCTCCATGGTTCCTACCATGCTTGTTCAGATGTGAAGTGAGTTCCTGGGTTGGAGGTGATGCTGATAACAAGCAACCCTGCTTTCAAGTTTTTGCCTTAACATCTCAGTTATGGACTATGGATTGGAATTGTAAGCTGATTCTCACAGGAGCAAAACATAATACTCTAAATGCAAAATACTCTAAATACTCTAAAGAGCAAAAGAGAAAAACCATTCAGAACATGTTAGGAAAGGTAAATTTTCTCCTTGTCCAGAACAAGCCAGTGGCTGTGAAGAATTTTCCATCAGAGATCAAAAGGTCGATACACTAAGTCTGAGTGAAGTCAAAGAACCAAAACTTCTTAGGCACTACAAAGGAGCAGACATGATGTACTATGATCACCTGTAAGGTCATCTCAAAGCCTGTATAGATGTTTAAAAGGAAGGGGCCAATGCACTCCCACATCTATGTTTGCTTTCCTATGTGTGCTGTTTCAAAGAGAAACATCACACACATGTGCATAGGAGCCTCAGGGCCATGGTACTAGTACAACTCTGCCAACTCAAAAATCTGGAAGGAAACTGGTTTTAATTATATGGGTGAGAGGTTATTATTTGAGTATCTCTCTATTTCTCTAAATCCACTGCCTCTTGATCTCTAGTTCTGCAGCATGTCTGTGACCATTCATTATTCTTTGGGTGTTCTAAAATTATAAACACAGAGGAGAGCCAACTGGAGTACCAATGACCCCAACGAGCTCATGGAAAAATTGTGCTGCACAGCTGCCATTCATATGGATCAATCATAAATCACATGTTTAGCCACATGCTTGCAAAGATTAGAGGAGGAGAAGTTGAGACTCTCTCACTCTGTTCTACAGTCAGTATTTGTTAGGCCAAACAGTCTCTTCTGCCACTTTACCAAGTGGTTGTAGAATATGGAAACTCAATATATCTCTACTATCTCAGTGTATACTGAGAAGCTAACAAACTGTACAGTTGAAATTAAGAACATTTGTTAGTTAGTTTCAGAGTGAAAAACACAAAATTGTAAAGAGTAATTATATCAGTTTTGGGCTTCATATCTTAAAGCAAAACAAAATGAAACAGAACCAACCACAGTCTCTTAGATAATAGTGGAGGAGGCTGTTTGTCTGTCAGTTCTAGCTCTTTATCTACTTTCTCATAAATAAAAGGGGCCCTGGTAATTTTGTTTAAATCATAAATGTAAATACCATGAAAAACACATGCTGTGAAATCCAATGCTTTTTTAAATTTTTTTACTTTTTATGTTATTGATAGAGTGTGTCTGTGTGTACTTTAGTGTTTGAAAGAATAATGGAAGTAAATGAAGTTATCAGTTACTGGTTAATCTTTGTAACTAAAATTCCTCTCTCCTGTATATTTTGCATGACTATCTAGGAATAGGATTAACCAGGGCCTGGGAGACACTCAGAGCTCTGTGAAACCATGACAACCATCGTTCTCCCTAGAGACAGGATTCAAAAGCCTTTTTGTTGCTTTTGCACTTGCAGCAGCTTGTGCTGTTTAGTTCATTATTTCTCTGAACAAGTAAATCCACATTTGCCATCCTAATGACATGTGCGATTTCCAAGAACTCATCCTTAATGACATTATAGGCAATGTTAAAGGCTGCTTATCAGCCTTTCTTAGGCCACCCACTATTTTTAAGATTATTGACATAGTCCATTTTCCAGGGAAGGGACTTGGTAAACTGAACTGAGAAACCTCAATTATTTGGGTCACCCTCATTATAGGTATTTGCATCTGGAGTAATACCAACAATGAACCGTGTTGCTGAATACTTCAAGGAAAATTGAGAAAGGGAACAGCTTGTTTCTTGGAAATCCTGATTGCAGGTTTATAGGCAGGCGTATGGACCACCCATGCTTCTACCATTATTACATACGATATTTGAAGGGGCATGCAAGCTTTTGGTATTTTAGCTTCTCCAAGAAATTATGTTTCAGTGCTTTTTTTCTCACAATACTTCTATCTACCAACACACACACACACACACACACACACACACACACACACACACCACAGGGGTAGGAAGGTACACAATGGGCAATGGGAATCATCAGGAGTGAAAGTGTGATCAAAGAGGTTAATGTTGGTATAAACATCACAATGTATCTGGCAAAATATAAAATATTAGAGTCAGAGAGTTAAATTCAAAAGCATGAAAATATTTATTCATTGATCCAACATATGTTTCTTAAGAGATGCTTTTGTCCTGCCATTGAGAGTCTGGCCTGGTAGAATTTATCAAAATACTGTTATAAGAGACAAGTGATTATTAGGGGCCTCTTAGAGAAGTAGACCCTTGAGGCTGGTTTCCCATTCTGACAAGGCTGGCATTGAGAAGTAACAGAATGGGATACTACTGAACGTTCAAAACAGCATTTGTGGAGAAGACTCAGAGGGATGATATTTGATAGCATTAATTTATCTCTGTGACACATTAAAGTGTGTGTGTGTGAGCATGCCCACATTCAGGTCTTCTATAGGTAGCCACAGCTGATGTGTTTTCATGATTGCAGTGGCCATGCCATATCCAGGAAATAGTGTTTCCTACTCCTCTCTATCTGCTTGGTCTTAACATCTTTCTGTCTCCTTTGATGTGTTGGTGCCTGAGTCTTAGAGAGGCTACTGCAGACATCTTATTTGGAGCTGAACAGTCAATAGTCACTTATTCTTAGCACTCTCATAATTTGTCTCTGCACTAACCATTATCCTCTGCAAATAGTTTTTCCTGACTCCAGTTGAATCATGTTGGTCTATGTTTATTAACTTACCTGTATAGTAGGCAGTTTGGCTACAGTAGTATGTTTTTCCTTAGAGTCTGTAATTTCCTCCTCCCTGTCTCAGCTATAGATTCTTTTGACCAGGCTTATAGTACTAGCTATTCCCTTCTGTGTTGTACTCATTCATCCACAGATTGTAATATTGTCTGGCATATTGTAGATGGCCAATAAATGGTTACTTGATGCTTTTTTTTATCATGATCACTTTTTAGTTCATAAGAGAAGATAGTGGAAATCTCCAGTGTCTATTAATGTATTAATTACCATGTAATCTAGCATAGAATTTAGATTTACCAATTTAACTAGTGTAAAGTCAGGAGGTGATCAGCTGCAAAGACAAACAATTCACAACACAGAAAGTTACTAGTTAGACAACATAATCCTGCACAGCTGTCCTCACACACCCGAATGGCTTGCACTGCTAAATCCTTGAACATTCAAAGCAGAAAGGTGGGTTTTTTGAATAGTCAATAAGATTGGCCTCTGAGACATGGATATCTGCTGAGCTTTTGAGGCAGACTGCACATCTGCTTTGTGAAAAGGCAGGTCTCTATCCTGTATAAATTCTGGGTCCAGGTGTTGTTAGACTGCAACCTGATCTGCTAACTGGGCATGGGAAACAGAGCACCACGAGAGGAACTCATGGCCTAAGAAATGATTTTGCACTGGAAAAGAAAAAGGGACTGCATGTACCCAGGTTATTCTAGTGGTTATCTTAGTGAAATGAGCCCAAGTTGCTCTTTAGGGAAACTGGGCTGTGTTTAGGCAAGACTTAGTGATAACACCAGCATATACTGTAAACAAGTGATGCATGCTCACTGCTAATGCTATTTCTTCATATGGAAAAACAATTTCCTAAATACATATATCAAACCTCAAAATGCAATGGACTAACAGCATCCAAATGGATTTGTAGTATATTTTTATCGCAATATCTATCTAACTTTTCAGTATTTCTTCTCCATCTAGTATATAATTAAATTTACAAAAATTATCTGGAGTGATCATAATAGCCAGGTATTGAGACATTTGGTAGTTTCTCTTTTATAAGGTGGACATGTTAGGACAGTGCCATTGTCCTACTTTTTCTCTTAAGCTACTGAACCTTTTAAGTTGAAATTGAATTCAAGTATTCTTGAAAGTCAAGTATCTGGAAGGCATTGTCTAATTGTGAACAAATGCTGAAACTTTAAGAAGTCAATGAATGGTGTTTACTCACTACTAGCCTTACTCTTAGATCCTGACAAGAATTGAGCTACCTGAAATTCATGCTCTAAGGCAATTAACAGTTCTGTCTGGTTAAGAGACAGCGATAACAGCAATACGGGTTGAAAAGTTGTGAGACAGTAAATACATTTACAACTGATAAGTTGCTGTCCTCTTAAAGTCTCTCTAGATGCTAGGGGTGAATCTCTCCAATTGCTTCCTTTCCTCATATTAATTAAATTCTAAAGGTTCAGGCAAAGAGGGAACAATTTGACATTTTACTTCTCCTAACTGACTGATATTATTTTCTTCTCCATCAGGTTTGTATAACTTCTCCCATATTTTAATACTCTGAGACACTAATGGATGACAAACCATTGAAGTATTCTCAACTATCTGTAATTAGAGTCAGGGTGAATTCAAATCCATGATTATTCATCCATAATTCTGAAATCCATACATTTCTAAAAAAAATGAAGTATTTTAAATATTTATCATAGAAATGGACATGTTAATACCTAATCTGTATTAATACAAGGCTATCTATCATGTTCAATAATACTAATTACATTGCACTATATTCATTGGTACAGAATGCTAATATATTTAATTAAGGACACCGTCCCAGATTCTCTGTGGTATTATAAAATTCATCAAATATAATTTCTTTTAAAATGCAAAGTTATGAATTCAACAATCTTGTGGGAAGAGTTTGGACGAGGAAACAAGTCCTGGGTCATCCTGTAATGTTTTATTCATTTACCTGCCAAACTGAATCCAAAATCCTAAGGTCCATGAGGACAACAGAACCTTGGGTCTAACTTTAAAGGGACAATAGCAGCAATAAGCTGCTTGTTCTGACTTCAACAGGATTTATTTATTTATTTATTTATTTATTTATTTATTTATTGCTTGCTTGTTTTCCAGTGTCCCTATCCAAACAACACCCATCTCAGGCAAGATTATTAAAAATGGAACTGAGTCTGATGCCAACATATTGCTTTATTTCTTGGTGGAAGTAAATTAAGGCTTTCTAGAATCATACAGCACGCAGTGATTTGAACTTTAGAGTTAAAGAGAAACAAACAAACAAACAACAACAACAACAAATGAGTATTCAATTTAGCAGAGCCAGGAAGGAAGTCATGTTTTAAAACAGATACATTTCTTGATGAGACATTTTGCTTGGCCTCAAAAACCTACTGAACTGTGTTCCTAGTGACCTCTGTCACAGATTCATACCCCTATCCTGATGGAGAGCAGAAAGGGTAAAGAGGACGGGAAAGGGAGAAACCAAGGAGGACACATGTGCTGGGCAGCCAGCAAGTGTGAAATGTCCACTGGGTCTCACATGAAAGTCAGTGGTGATAGAGTTACTAAAAATGGCTTAGGGAACCACTTTGGATTCCCCTGCTCATTCTGGGGAGCAGTAAACCAACTCCTTAGGGATGCTCCAGTATCAAGGTTTACAGACAACCCATTGTGACTCTCCAATCCACAAACATTAGGTGGAGCTACAAGTCAGAGAGCAGAGGGGTGCTACGTTCAATTTCTTTTACGGCTCTAAACTCTGTGGCTGTCACTAGGTCCTGTCCCCAGCCAAACTTTTACTTTCCTTTGTGACATATTCTCATTCACCTGTCCATACTGAGGAAGGTATGAACTGAGCAAAAGCTGGGATTCACAGGATGAATGACAGTAACCTCCTGAAGGGTTGCCAGCTTTATCACTTAACATCTCCTTCCCAACACAAGACAATAGTACACGCCGGAGCCTACAGTGGGAGTGCAGTTGTCGAGCGGTGTATAAGCTTGGTCTGTAACAAATGTAGCATGCTTGGCTTGGAGAAGCAGAGGCCCTGGGACTGGAGGATAGACACTCTGAGAAGAAGATGGCCGAACTGTTTCAACAGTGGTAGGGAAGTAATGCAGCCAGAGAATAAATTGGGGAAAGTCCTAGGTTTAGTAACAAAAGTCAACTGGAATTCATGAAAACAAGTAGCAGGATTTTATATGGCTATCTGACTCTTTAAAGATGAAACTAGTAAACTGCTTTGTATCCATCCAGAAGGGGCCATTTAAAGGTCCGTCAACTTAAAATTCAAATTTTGAAATGATTTTAATATTCAGTCCCAATACCTTGGTGGGTGGACCAGCATCTGTCTTATCAGTGTGTTCCCTCTTCTGTGTGACTAGCACTTCTGAGTGAGCAATATTGAAACACCTGGAGGTCTGTTTTACATTCTTTAGCGGAAAGCAGGCAGACAGCAGGCAAGGAGGCGTCTGTACAATTAGACACTTATAAACTTAACCCCAGTCGGCTTCATGTGATGGAGAAATAAATAGATGAGAGAAGTCAAAATGAAATGTGAATGACAAAGGACTAAGGCATCTGTCCCCACCGGCTGCAGGACAGATGTGTCTGAGGCATAGCATATGTGCACCGAGAAGGGTTAGAAAAACCCTTAAGAATGTGGGTTCCCTTGGACCTCACTTGTTAATTAAAAAATATCAGGGTCTCTACTTGGATTTGAAAATGCTCAGCAGATGGAAGCTGACAGGGAGATGTCATGTCATGGTGCGTTCTCCTGCCTGAGCTGGATGTGGTGGGGGTGGGTGGGTGAGAGAATGCGACAGCACATGTATGTGCACAAGCCTAGTCCACCAAACAGAGTTGTGTTGGTTCTTAGAGGACAGCAAAAGGACATCATCCCGGACTCTATGTGCTCTGAGGGTGACCCCACAGAACCTCTCCAAAGCACAGCTCGTCCACACAACCACTTCTCTCAGAAGTGCTGCCTGTGTGCTTTATACAAAACTCTGCTTATGGGCATCACTATTCTCTCAGTTCTAGAACGGGCATGAGGGTCATCCCCACCTCTAGCCTCTGGTGGTGGGAAGCTGAAGCCCAGACAGGTGAAGTGTTTTGGTCAAGATCACATAGCTAGTTAGTGGCAGAACTAGTATAGAAAACATGTCTCTTTTTACTCCGTGTAATTTTCCATGATTCTTTAGTATCGGGAAGCTCCCTGCACACATTAAGCGTTAACATGACTTTAACTCCAATTTGCTTGCTGTGGGATTTAGGAGTGGGGCTTGTGTCCACCAAGTAGTTTAACAGCAGCTTTAGAGGCCTTATTCTGACTCTTAATGCTGCAGGTGTTGCAGGGTTGGAAGATGAGGGTGTGGAGGGGCATGGCTTGTGGATGAGCAGGGGGAGGAAGATAGGGTAAGGTGCATTTCCGAAGACACAGTGACCAGCCTGCTGAGGTTCACCCTTTGTGAGAGTGTGTGTCTACAAATGAACTGACCAGAACCTGTCTACTGTGCTAGAAATTTGGTTTTCCTCCTTCATTTCTTTGACATCATTTGCTCATGAGAAATAAAACTAAAAGCCAGACTCCAAAGACCGTTCCCCGAAGAAATAGGGGCTATGACTGGGTGTGGGTGCTTACACGGGCCACTTTTACAAAACATTGTTTGGTTCATGTTGCTGTGAAAACATGCCTAATGGGAGCTGTCCCTTCAGAAGAAAGCAGGGTTGGTATGCTCAATGACACAGCGCTTGCAGTGGCGCTTCACAAACCGCAGGGCCTCCACTGAAACCTCACAGTCCTGGACGTTCAGCATCTGCAGGTCAAAGCAGTTGGCAGCCACGATCTGCAGGCCCTGGCCGGTGATGCTCTCGCAGGATTTGAGGCTTAATCTCTTGAGATTGAAACAGTTCAAAGCCAGGGATTCCAGGCCTGTGTCGGAGACCAAAGGACATTTGCCAATGTCCAGAGACTTAAGTTTTGTGCAGTTCTTGGCAAGGTACTCCACGCCATGGTCCGTGATGCCCTCGCAGCCCCTCGCATTGAGGTAGCGTAATTTGCTGCAGTACTTAGCCACATAACGAATGCCCACATCCGTGATGCGGCCACAGTGGGCGATGCTGAGGTACCGCAAGCGGGACTCCAGTTTAGCAATCTCCCGCAGGCCAAAGTCGCTGACAAAGCGGCAGTCACTGACACTGAGCTCCTTGATGGATGTGCAGTAGATCACCAGGTAGCGGAGGCCCTCATCAGTGAGGCGGACACAACGGCGCAGATAGAGGTGTGTGAGCTGCGTGCAGTGAGCTGCGATGGTGTGCAAGCCTTCGTCCTCCAGCACGAAGCAGTCCGTCATATCAAGGTATCGGATGGAAATCTGTTTGCCATGCAAGGGGGACAGTTTAATGGAGGCCTCCCGGGTCAAGCTGATGCAAGTAACTTTGGAGCACCCTGCATAAAGACACAAAACACATGCTCAGATAAACTTGCCAGAGTGGGAACTTGGTTCAGGGGAGCCATAACTGATTCTTAGTCCTCTTTCTAGTCCAATTCAGGGGTTAACACTACAGAGAAAGGTATTTGGAATGATTACCTCTTTGTTGGGCTATTCGACAATTTGGGGCTTAAGTGGATTTGCAGATTTTAGAAATGGAAGTACCAAGATTAGAATCAGAAATGCCAACCAACACAGCTTGGGGCAAATCACACTGTAATTTCTTTGTCATAAAATGGGCACAGGCCCTGACCTGCAGGAAAGCTGTGATGGAGTGAGACCCTGTGTCTAAATATCTTGCTATGGCCCTATGAGGAAGTTCCTAAAAGTCTGCCAGTGACCTAGTAGCTTCTTGATTCAAAGAAACAAAATGAGAGAGGGGAGCACTGAAAGAGAACACTGGAACTTTGGGCAGACCCTTCTGGGTTCCCTGGGCTGAGAGTTTACAGTTAGGTTAGGACCACTTTCCACTGCTTCAGTCATGATGAGTGTCTGGCAATCCAATACTTCAGGAATAGAATGAAATGCAATGAAGCCGCGGATCAGAAAATAGTTTGAATATTATGGGATATTTCTGTCATTATTACCCTACCAAATTAATGTTGGGGATTTCATTCCATAGATACTTGTAGAAGACAGTAGTATCATCAAAATTGCTGCCCTAACTTGTCTATCTGGCTCCTTGCTTGCCTTGCCCTTATTCCCTTCAGTATTTCCATACAGCTGTAATTGGAGGCCTAGAAATGGCACTCAAATCATCTTTGCTCAGAGTCTTTAGATGGCCCATTTCATGCCTGGTCTAATAGATCAAGTTTCCTTGCGCTCTTACCACTGACCCTACTGTGACCTTGCCATTTCCCAGACATCACCCTGCCTCTGCCTTGTAGCTTCTGTGCCTGTATTATGGAAGGATCTTACTCAGATAGCTCCAGGACACACCTTCAACTTTCTTAGGTCCACAAGATAATGTTAGCTTAATGGACAATTGTTTTCATGGACTGCCATGCACAAACTAGCACCCCTGACTATCTCCTTTATATTAAGCACTTTGTCAGTTAATAACATCACATGTTCATCTGCTTAGTTATTTATCTGCTGTCTGCTTACTCTAGAGTGCAAGATCCTGAGGGGAAGGACTGAGGCAATTTGATCACCATACCTTCTGTGTTTATAGCTGGGATTAAATAAGTGTCAGGTGAATGAATGAATGAAGGTGGGAAGAAATGATTTACAGGGAGATATCTCCATAACAGCTCAGGTGGGATAATTGAACTTCCAAAATTTACATGTCTTCAGACATTGGCCTTGGCTCAATAATGTATGCATTAAAAATAATTGTTTACAGAAATGCCTTTTATTTGAGTTGAATTATGAAGTGTACAAAGTACTGTGGTGAATATTTTTTATCTGATTCTTAACACTTTTAAAGAACAGGATAGTAATGCCCAAGAAGATATTTTAGGCTAACTCTTACACATCCTTCTTAACTCCCTAAAACTATCTGTAAAATTACATATATATTTGTATTGTACAGTTTAATTATTGTGACATTGCATATAATAATAAAATAATCATTAAAGCCGGGCGGTGGTGGCGCACGCCTTTAATCCCAGCACTCAGAAGGCAGTGGCAGGCGGATCTCTGTGAGTTCGAGACCAGCCTGGTCTACAAGAGCTAGTTCCAGGGCAGCCTCAAAAGCCACAGAGAAACCCTGTCTCGAAAAAAACAAAACAAAATCATTAAATATTACTTTATGCAAGCATATATAGCCAACTTCTATTATATAGTCAATACCCATTAATATAAACTATAGAAATATGTATTTTGTGCCTATCCCATTCTACTACATACTTTTTATTCTCATTTTCTCCTTACTCTTATCAGATCCCTGTTGCAAGCATACAACCAGGCACATCACTTCAGACACCCCCAAATTTTGAGTATTTAAGGCACCATCTAAGGCTTGTGAGCGTCACAATAACAATACTATTGGGAACTCTCCTTCTATCTCCTGGCAGGCTGTCCATGAAGCTCAAGATGAAGCATTGGTCCTCAGAATAATGGGATTAAAATGTTATGTGCTCCACGGTAAGAATTTTAAGGTGTGAAGCACCAACCATAGAAAACAGACAGGACTCCCTCTGTTGGAGCAACGTGGGTTTCTGGGAGGTGGTTTTCTTTGAGATCTTCCCATTCCTTTTTTTTGGGGGGGGGTTCTTTGATGACTGTAATTCTGCATATCTCAAATTTTACTTTCTGTGTGTGTAGGTATTCTCATTTTCTTCTGTTATGTAAAAAATTTTTATTCCTCTATTTTGGTTCTAGTTTCCTTTCTACATTCTTAACATCTAGCAAAATCTGTTGTGCATCATAAAAGACACAATATTTAGGCAAAATATTTAGGCAAAAATACATATTAAAAAGAGGAGTTTCAAATTTAAGAAAATATTAGTTTAGTATAGTTGCAGTACATTATTTTGATATGCATGTATAACTTTCTATCAATAATTTTTAATGTTATGGCTATCTCTAATTCTTATGGAATTGTTGAGTTTGTATTGGAAAGAAAATAAATTTTTTCATGGTTCAGTAATACTAATGGATATTTCATGCATTCCTATTTTACAGATATGAAGGGGCCCTTAGAAATCATTCATTTAAACTTCAATTTTAAAAGATGAGGCATGTGCCTCAATGTGCCTTCTACCCACAGACTAGAGCAAGTCTCAAATTTGTTCAAGGCTTCACTGACAAGACATAGGTAAGAAATGTTACAATGTGCCATCAAAAGACAGACCTGCAGACACAGGCGTTTTGTTTGAAGTGGCTGTATTTAAGGAGATAATCAAAGAGAAACAACCTGGATCCATAGAATGAAGTACCAATATTGAAACAAAGGAAGACAAACTTGAGAGACAAGAAATCACTCAGTATTTGAAGGAGTAAGGGATGGTCATAAGGTGGATCTTATGGTTTCTGGAAAGATGTAACAGAAAATAAGGAATGGTTGGCTGCCTTAAAGTCCAAGATAAAGAGGAGTGGGGTGTTCCAACAAGTAAGGTCATGGACCAGGTTTGTATCATGGTCCTATCTATTGTGCCAGACTTTGTTGACTTCTCATGGGAACCCTTACCCATGAGGAGGAATGGCCTGGGGGTGAGCTGGCAGGGAGGTGTGGGGGACTGTGGTTGGAATGTAAAATGAAATATAAAAGAATAAATTTTAAAAAGGGCGTGTGGGGTGAACATTATTCCACCAAGATGAACAACAATGGTTAAACAGTATTAATTCCAGCTCTCACAAATTTTCTCTGCATCATGATTTACTCTCATTTGTGATGGGGAGAATCTCTACTTTCTCTAGAATGCAAGGTAGTCCAATCAGTGAAGACCAATGACTAACTTCTAAGATTGTTGATAAAAATAAAACAGCAAACACAATTAACTCAGGGAAGCCTCAGTTACCCTATTTTTAGTTATGAGGAGATTTTTATTGTTATTTTACACCTTCAAAAATGCTGCTGGGTATATTAACCAATGGAAACTTTAACTCTTTCAAGATGACCATTTCAGGCTTTAGTACTTCTATTTTCACTTAATTACAAGATCCCAAAATACAAAATAAAAATCCCTTGTTTCTGTCCATAAAAAGCCAATGCCTTGAGAGAAAGGGACATGAAAACATGCAAGTACCAGAAAGCAAATTCAATGATATTTTAGTTGCCTGTATTCAAAATGCAGACAAGGAGAGGAAATCCTTGGCTCACTAGACATAAGGTGTAGAAGGCTGTGCTCATGTGAGATTCCACCTGCGAAATGACTAATCTCTTAAGAGAATTGATGGGGAGGTTTGGGATAGGAGTAGAAAAGGGACTACCTATATGGAATCCACATAGGAAGACACCCATTACTGAATGTACAGGTATTATGTGTCTGGAGAACTGTAGATACTGTTGCAGAAGAATGGAATTTGAATCTTGGAAGGGCAACTCAATAGGGACCGACCTTACATGAGCTAAGGAGAAACATGAATCTTTGGTGTAATTAAGTGGAGAACAATTGGAGGTTTTATGTACAAAAGTAAAGGCTTACAACTTGAAAAAGTTTCCTCCAGAAGTTGAATATGCAGAATATGGATTGAAGTGTTGAAAAGAGCAGTTGATGAAGAGTTCCTGTAGGCAGGCATGTAGAGGAAAGGCGATGGACTCCAGGGGCTGCTAGGAAATTAGGATGGCCTTGATAGGATGCTACTGATTAGAAAGAAAAGATTAGGGAGAAAAAGTGGGTGATTCTCAGGTATCCTGTTGGAGAGAGCCCCTTTGAAGTGAGTTTATGTGCAGCAATTACATTTTAATTTTCAAAGTTAGTTGGTTTTAATATATCCTAATTATGTTAAAATACTAATAAAGGTAATTTATGATAATGCTAAGATAGAATATCTAGCTATGGTAATTGCCATTGATTTGGAAATGTAATATTGAACATTATACCTTTCTGCCTTGCTAAATATGGGACAGGTAATCTCATACCATGTAGAGCAGTGGTGTTCAACCTTCCTAATGCTGTGATCCCTTAACAGAGTTCCTCATGTTGTGGTAACCCCCAACCATAAAATTACTGTTATGAATTGTAATGTAAATATCTGATATGTGACCCCTGTGGGGATGGCAAAACACAAGTTGAGAAATTCTGATCTACAGGAACTCTAGATCAGAAAGCCAGCCTTCTATTCTCAAGTTTACTGTCACTGGAAAGTTAGCCATTATCTGAAGCCAGCTTAAAACCAAGGCAGTTGGGTAATGAATGAATAATGAAAATAACTTTGACGGCCTTCTGGCCTCTCTGTTTTGGCACAACCATTTCCAAATTCCCCCAGAAATGGAAGAGACTTTTAGTTAGTGCAGAGTCCAACCTGCTAAACCTTTCAAGTCCATCTCTATGCACCCATGTGTGAAATTCTATCCTAAGTTGGTGAGGCACAGACTTCTCTTGTTCTCCTGCCTAGATGTACAGATCTATGGTGTTATTGGCAATCTGCCAGGAAGCTATATAAATATTTATAAGCATGAAAATGGCACTGAAGTAGAGGACAGCTAGCAAGACTTAGTAACAGTTAGTAACAGTTAGTCAAGTGGTATAGCAATCCCATTCCCAAACAGCCAAAGTGACTTCAGCCATTTCAGGATTTCAAAAGGACCTCAAACAAGACAACATAATTAACTTGCATTCTATATGAAGAACACCTGGGAACACTCTCTGACAAACTTGGGAATGCTAAACAACTTATTTTCTAATCGGAGAAAATACAAAAAGTGTTTGTAAATATTGGATTACGGTCTCTTTATTTCCAAGCACAACCGGGTGTTACATAGGCCAGAGCTAGGTTAAGAACCCAGCCAGCGCAGCCAGAACAAAGAGAGAGCGCGGTCCCCACGTGCAGTCTTTTAAGAAGCCCCTCTTACGTCATGCCGGCTTTCCTTCACCCCGCCCTTATGGGCGAGTCCCCAGGTCCACCTGGTACCTGCCCCAGGACTATTGGGCGGGGCTAGGGTTACTCCCTACATGTAAAATGTTCAGCTGGCAAGAATGGTAAAGAGTTTGTCAGTTTTATTTCTTAGCTAAAGAGAAAACACATCAGTTGTAGCTCTAAGTGATAAGTGATTTGCCCCAAATCTCAGTGCTCCATGTTTTCCAAAGTTCCTTGGAGGAAGAATTTAAGGTCTCCTTGTTTCCCGCCTCTGTATGCCAAAGGTAGCTCATGACTAATCTAACACACAGTCAGGATGGCTTTGTCCTGAAGCCAGCTCAAGCAGGAGTTGTAAGCAGCTTTCCAGCGAGGGAAAGAATCTGCAAAAGTAATGGGCTGTCAGTGGAAATATTTTCAGATGTCAGCTTCTGAAAGACAGAACAAGCGGGAAGCTGTTTTACCTCCAGTTCTTTTTCTTTCTTCTTTTTTTTTTTTTTGAACAACTTCATTTACCTTGGATTCTTGTAAATCCCCAATTCTATTTATTTGCCTGACTCAGTGGGTTTCACCTTTTGACTTTTCCCAAACCATTCCTGAGGTCACAGCTCATGTGTCTCATTTTTTTTTTTTTGAAATCTTACACATTTCAGCCTCTGAAATGTTCATCTTTTGACTGAACAGCAGATGAGATAAAAAAAGAAAAAAACAATTGAGGGGGCGGTTTTATTCAGGATGGGTCCCCAGTCTGGCACCAAAGTTTGACTCTGGGCTTTAATTCTTCCTGCCTAAGAGAGACTTTTTAAGGAAGGCAATTATACTGGGATTTCCTTCCATTTTCAAGAGAATGAAAAGTTAGATTCAATGGACCCTGTCCTTGTACTATGTAACTGAGAAATGTTTTAAAAGAGCTGTAAAATTAACCCAAAAGAACAAGGAATGGGGGGGGCACCACTTGACCATGACAGATGTCCCCAGTATTTAGAGAAAAAGCCATTGTGATCACAGCTCCCAGGCCAGCGTTTGGTTCACTATGGAGGACTGTCAGGTCTAAATGTCACAGGGACATCTCTGTGGCTTTACCATGGCACATAGACTCTACTAACTCATAGCACATACATACAAAATTCTAGTTTCTGAATGACCTGTTTAAATAGATATTTCCTTCTATTTGTCTTAGCTAGATGCTCCTTTGTTTGTTTACATTTTGCATGGTTGTTCTGGAGTGTAAGGTCACATTTAAGGTAGACTGACCCAACTTATCAGGACCAAAGTGACTACAGTTCTTTAAGAGGCAGATGGTCAATGCAGGGGCTACTCTGGCCTTCCATGTTACGCTTCCACAGTGAGACATTTTCTGATCAGTTAGTCTCCCTACTACACACTGTTCATCTCTAGTAGCTAGCAAGGTGACACTATGAGCTGGAGAGATGACTCAGTGGTTAAGAGCACACACTTCCAGAGGACCTGAGTTTAGTTTCCAGCACCCATGATGGGCAGCCCTCGATAGACTTTAACTCCAGCTCCAGCAGATGCAATGCCCTCTTGCAGACTCTGTAGGCATCTGCAGTCATAGGCATACATCTACACACAGATACACAAATACATGTAATTTTAAAAAACATTAAAATAAATAACAGTGAGAGAAGGTGACCCTGTACAGGTAGCAATGTCTCTCCTATTCTGGGATGGTGCATGAAGAACACAGGTGTTAAGTCAAGTTTCCATTTACCTGACACATCCAGATGTTCCAGGTTGGGGCAGAGGGACACCACATCAAAGACGGCTTCATTGGAGATATTGTAACATCCTGAGACTTCCAGGCGCCTCAGTTCTGGGCAGCACTGTGCAATGGTGTAGAGCCCTCGGTCTGTGAGCCTCCGGCAGCCACTAACAATGACAGTCTCTAGCATGAGACACACATTGGGTGTGTCCTGGCAAAGCCTACGGGTCAGCACTTTCAGGGCACGGTCCACATTGATGGTCTCGCCCGTGAGTCGGATAGTCCTCCAGAGGCGCGGGTCCCAGGCCAGGTTGTACCAGCGGCGGCACACACGTGCACAGCGGCACAGCTGGTTGGTGGGCAGGAAGGAGAAGATCTGCACCATGGAATGGTCTGGGAGGCGGTCTATGCTGGCTTGCTCTTTCTGGGGTCTGGAGGCCAGTCGGATGAGTGGGTGAGTGAGGCGGGTGGGAGGTGGGGAGTGAACCATTGCCACTGTCTCCCCGGTGATGGAGGATGAAGAAGTGGAGGAGCCCCTTCCATTCTGAAATCCTGGCAAAGTCGGTGGACATATCAAGGCTGGGCTGGGCGTGCTCAATGTACGCATGCTCAAGTCAGAATCTGGCAAAGGACAGAGAACAACGTGTTAAGAATGAGGGCTTTTTATAGCACCTTGAGCTGGAAGGAAAAGACACACGTAGGGCAATGGTTACACTTCCCCATGGCCTTCACTCCTGGACTTCTTCAGAGGCACTGGCAGCAAGCTCCACCTTTCTCTAAAAGCTTCTAACCCTCATGCTCCACAACAGGGCAAGCAAACTGCAATACTCATTTGTTAGGCCTGGGTTTTCATTACCAGTGGCTCGGCCCTGCTAAGGGCATGCAAAGACTGTCATAAACAACAGAGAGGGGCGCAGATATGATTGCCACAGTCTTGGCTCACATAAACAGACCAGAGGCCCCTGTGCAAACCAGGGGCAGATTCCTTCATTTCCTTATTCTCCTATCTCCCTGGTGCCGATCATGTGAAAGGTTCAACAACACAGTTGCACTGTTCCCATCTAGGGAGAAACTTATCAGTAACAGACTGATTTGCTTTCCTAATATATCTTGAAGACATAGTGCTGGGTTTTATAAGTGAGGGAGATGTGTTTCAGAGGACAGCAGAGTTTCTTGGGGTGCAGAAAGTGACTGTTTCTTTGTAGTCAATTGCCCTGATGCGCACTGGGACTCTGAGGACATTTTCCCACAATAGGGGAGCCGCCAGGCTTGCTGTGTTAGGCCAGATTCCAGTCTCTGAAAGTGCATTTTTTCTTCTAACGAACTGTATTTACTGAGCATTCGAAAGCTCTATTTTGTTCCTTGAAACCAAAGAGGTCACATGACGAGGATACACTAGATTCTAAGTTGTTGAGGAACTGAGAACCCTTCAGGGGACTAGAGAAAGAGCTCATCAGTCAAAGAACATGTACTGCTCATTTAGAGGACCTGAGTTCAGTCCTCAGCACTGATTTTATGTGGCTCACAATGGCCTGTAACTCTAACTCCAGCGGGACCTGGTACTTCGGTGGGCATCAGTATTCACATGCACAAACCCATACACAGATACATATACATATTTAAAAACAAATCTAAAAGGAAAGAATTCTTCATTCTACTCAAAGAGAATGTTCATTTCATTTCCCTTTCTCTGTATAAGAATTTAGTTTCTTTCCAAACACATATAGCATATATAAACATAGTTATTATTTAGGAAATAATGCACTCAACATAGTTTATGTCAATATACATTTATGAATTCATACCCATCCATGTTTATGTGTGTACCCAGAGAGGCAGAGGGACACAGAGAAAGTTTATTTCTACAATACAAATTTCTTTACCTGTAAAAATAAATGATTTGGCTAAATTACGGCTCAGTCATTTCCACCTGGCACTATAGTTCTAAAGATTTAAGTTCTTTGCATATTCAGGGACAAGGAACAGTAAGTCTGTATGGAAAACTTTAAGCATAAACTCAATTATGGATTTCAAAACTGCCTCTAACTTACCATAATACCAACCTATACCATCACATGTCCTCAGGGAATGAGCTCTGATGCCAGTATTTTTCTTAGAGAGGCAAGCAGCTTACTTTGGAGCAGGAAGGAGGGATAATCTCAGGCTCAGAAATCTGATGTTTAAGAAGCTATGAGGCTCTGTAGTCTCTCTCTTGCCTGCATAGGTTCCATTCATCTTGAAGAAGATGTTTGAGAGTGCCATGTTGAGTACTATGCAGTAGGGCCCTGGAGCATATGCTAAATCCCCCTGTCTTTACTGGAGAGGAATGGATGACTTTACAACAGGAGTTTTTACCTGCTTCAGTTTTCTTCACTCTCCTACCTTGGCCCCTAGGTAGGAGATGTGAAGACACACAGATTGTTTAGCACAGATGTGGTTCTAATGGTGATTTTAGTCATTTGCTTTTTCTGTCTGCAGTCATACCTGAATGTTATAGGAATTTATACCCAGAGAGAGATGGAAGCTTCCCACTACTTTGAGGAATATTCTGGACTGGGAAAATTGGAGCATCTCTGATTGCTCCCTTTGCCCTCCCACCTAGGGTTTATCCACAAGAATCCCAGAAGGAAGTACACAGTTCTTCATTGTTCATAAATTGTGTGTGTGTGTGTGTGTGTGTGTGTGTGTGTGTGTGTGTAAGATTTATTCCGAAAAAGCTGATACCATAAACACATAGCAGGATTTGCTGAGTCCTTCAGGCTGACTTTACAATGGGTAAATAATCCTCTCAGAACTTTTGAAAATATATAATCATAATGGAATGCAGAGCATCTAATAATTACAAAAATATTTACAAAAATAAAACAATAAAGTGGTGGTCTAAGCTTGAGATATGCACACCTAGAACTTGCTATAAGATATTTTTCTTGATATTTTCACATAGAAAATTCACATATTAAACTTAAAAGGTGAATATTTTTGTGTTTGTGCATTTAAATTGAAAGTTTTGATTATAAATAGGTGTGCTTGCTGGGCTAACACTAAATACGGTTTATAGAAATTCATAGAACTGTTGTGTTGGTACACTGGCAACACAGAACATGGATTCCACTTCAATCATAAACCACATTCGTCTCAGGTAGCAGCTATCATTTGCCCAGAGAAGTCGGAGACACCAACTCCACTCTTTATAAACACTCTTCCACCCTTTGGATCCTTTCAGCTAAATGGCACTGGTATTAGCTGTTGACTATTTCAAGTCAGCTTAGAAGCAAGGACCTCAATGCCAAGCTACCAAACACTTAGAAGATTAGCGTAGAGATGAAGCATCATGAAGATGACAAAAGAGGTAGAAAGCTGCAGCCATCTTCCTGGTCTTCTAACTTTGTAACACAAAGAAGCAGAAAGACAGCTAAGTACACATGACCTTAGACTTTGCAGACATGAACTTATTTTAAGTCCTAAATATCTAATCTTAGTAAAATTCTACCTATTTTCCACCTTGAAGCAGAAGCCCTCTCTAGTGGCATCTGCATCTGGTTCGGCCAGTGGACTTGGGATGGTGGCCACACTGGAGGGTGTAGCGAATGTGATCCCTTATAAGGAAGAGGAGGGACTGGCTCTTTCTCTCTTGGGTTGTGGCTGGAGACAGAAGGACATCCCCCATCAGTCTGCAGTTTATGCTAGCAGGAATGTGATATGTATTGGACTAAAGAACAGTTTAACCACATCTCTGAGAGAATATTAATGGTTCTTATAATACTAGATAGGCTTTTGCACATATTTATATAAAACTTGGCTATCATTCTCTATCTCTCTTTGCCTCTCCCCTGCTGCAAGATGATGACAATTGTGGTTGCTACAAGGAGGTACTGTCTGGGGGTGTTTTGCAAAGGGAAAATGGGATTTGTAAAAAAGTATCAAACCAAATATATGGGACATAATGCATCTATAAAATACCAATCAATCACTACCAGCATCAGTTGTTTTTAAGTTCCTGTGTATGGGGCTGGAGAGACTGTTCAGTGCTTAAGAGTACTTGCTGCTCTTCCACAAGATCTGGGTTCAATTCCTGACACCCATATGGTGGCTCATAACAGTCTGTAACTCCAGTCTCAGGGAATCTGATGCACTCTTCTGGCCTTGGCAGGCACCCAACATGCACACAGCAAGCAGCCATACATGCAAGCAAAATACCTCTGCACACAAAATAAAATAATAAAAACTTTTAGAATTCTGTTATAAGCAAAATATTCTCGATCATTATTAGAAAAAGGTTTGCCAGTAAAGGAAACATACAAACTCCTAAATGAAGAGTACATTTTTTACAACATATTCTAGAGTTTATATAAAGACTGGTGGCTTTTTAAAATCCACCAAGGCTACTGCTCTATCAGTAGGCACTCTTTGAACATATTTTGTTGGTACATAAGTATGTAAGTTGGTAATAGAATCTGTTAAAGGCACATTAAATGTACCAAATACTGACATTTGGGTCAAATATTTATGGCATATATGATCGTGACCACATCATATTATGTTGGTCTATCAACTGTAGCCATCTCTAGTTTGTGTGACTTCTCTACTATGTTCTCACAGTAGTGACAATGTTGAATAATGCACTCCTCAGAATGCAGACCTACTGTTGAGTGGTGCATGAGTGACCTTTGCAGTAAGGTAGGTAGACAGAGAAATCTATCCGAGAAAAGCTGATACAGTCTGCAAACAGAAAACATCTGGTGAGTACCAAACATCAGAACTGGAAACGGCGGGCTGAGAGAAAGTACAGTAGATATAGCCACTTGCAGTGTCAGTGTGATGACCTGAGTTTTGGACCCCAACAAACCATGTGAAGCTGACCACAGAAGCCCACATCTGTAATTGCAGCACTCCCATGGTGAGATAGGAGGGGGGTATGGGAGAATCCTTTGGAAGCCTGCCAGCCAGACAAACTGGTGTACACCATGACAACAAGAGAGCCTATTCCCAACATGGTGAAATGCTGAAACTTACACCTAAGCTTTTCCTCATGTACACATGCATCATAGTACAAGCATGCCTGCACTCACACATGCAAACATGCACACACATACATCATAAACACACACACACACACACACACACACACACACACACACACACACACACTGAAAAAGAGTCAAGAATATATTGTCAATTATAAATATATAAGACCAGACAAAAGACAGAAATGAGAAAAATTCAAGTGTCATGAATCCTGAACAGGAGATAAAAATGAGAAATGATATATTCTTGCAACAAAATGTGGATTTTTGTATCCAGTCTCCTAATGATACTGGGAAGGCAGATGTAGCCAAAGGATGGTGAGAATACTTGGTATCTTCAGGGAAATACACAGAATGGATCACAAGGAATATTCTGGCAGGAAGGACAGGGCACAGGAAGGCATTTTAGTTTTATATAATTCAAAGTAATAAACTGTTCTGTTGCAGATTCTTGGATTACATGGCTATGGGCAGAGGGAGTGTTCATTCATTCAATGAATGATTTAACACACCGTGTTCCTCATGCCTATTTGGGGCCCAGCAAGGGAGAGACTGCATCTGACTGGATTATAAAGCAAATGTTCCTAGCCTTCCTCC